AGGGGTCTGCAGATCGCTTTGTATATTTTTGTCGCGGTATTTGTACTAATTCCTTTGTCCTTGTATGTTAGTGATCGAAAGTGTTTTGTTCTTTTTCTCATTTCTGTTCTGATGTTTCGTGTGTGTTTAGTGAATTTGAGTTTGTGGTCGATTGTGATTCCAAGGTACCTTACGTCGTTTTTTATTTTTCCATTACCATTTATAAAACCATGTTATTGTGGTGTTTGCTAGTGTTTGGAGTCTTTCAGTCGCTTTTTCGGTAGTTTTGTCGTATACAATAAGTGCCGTGTCGTCAGCGTATTGTAATATGTATGCCGTTCTGTCAATTTGATTTTTGTCTGGTAAGTTGTAATTGTATATGTCAGGGCAGTATATACTGTAGAGAAAGGGTGAGAGCGGGGATAGTTGGGGGAGGCCTTGTTCAGGGAAAAAAAAAGGAGAGTGTGTTATCAATTCGTACTTGTAGTTGTCTGTTTTCTAATAAGTTCTTTATGGTGTGTAGTAGATATGGTGGTGTGTGGAGTTTGTATAGTTTGTATAGTAAGCCCCTAGGCCAGACACTATCAAAAGCCATGTTGATGTCCATGAGTAGAGATGCATACTTTCCGTCAGTTAGGTGAGTTGTTTGTATGTTGTTGGTCAAAATAAATAACGGATGAATAGTTGAGTGATATTGTGTAAAGCCAAATTGGTAGGTTGGTATATGTGTTCCGATCAGTTCTTCAAGTCTCTGTTTTAGTATGTGTTCGAAAACTTTGCTCAGCACCGGGAGTAATGTAATAGGTCTGTAGTTTTCCATTTGTGTGCCGTCTCGTCCATTTTTAGGTATAGGAATTATTACACCACTTTTCCATGTTTCGGAATTTGGTTATTTATGATGCAGTTGTTCATTTCAGAAGGGATGAGTTTGTGGGTTTCTTGGGTTAAGCTTTTCAGGAGTTTTGCCTTTATTTTGTCCTTTCCCGGAGCTGTGTTTTTGATATGTGATGGGGTTTTATCGTATTCTGTGTCTGTCATTAGTTTGTAAGTATAGTTTGATGAGTTGTTGAAGTAGTTCAAGTACCAGTCATTGATCATTTTCCAGTTGTCACTGTCGAACTTAGGGTTTGTCGATTTGCTGAAGGCCTTTTGATAGTGTCTGGCAAATGCGTCAGATTTCTCTTTGCCTGTGTAACGTTCTATTCCGTTTTCGTCAATTGTGTGAGTAGTGTTAGTTTTCTTGTATTGTGCTAATTTCTTGATTTTTTGCCAATATGTTTTGCCCTTGTCTTTTTCTATTTCCTTACATGTTTCTAACCATTTGTCTTGTCGGTATTGTTGAATCAGAGTTTTAAGGTTCCTGTTGAGTAGGTTCAGTGTCATTTTTAGGTCGTTATTTTGGGTGTAAGTATATAGTCTGTAAAGTTCTCTCTTATGTTTTATGAGTCTCAGTATGAATTTGGGTAGGGTGTCTCGGTAGAAAACATTTTCAATTTCAGGGGTGAATTTTCTTATCGCTAGTGAAAGTTGCTGTTGTATGGTTTCAATTGAGATGGTCTGTACTTGCGATTGTATGTAGTTATGTATGTGTTGTTTCACTTTGTCTATGTCCGTCTTAGTTAAGTTTAGCTTTTTCTCTTGATTCGGTGTACTGAGGGTAGGTTGCGTTAGTGTTAAGTCTCAACTAAAAGTTATTGCCATGTGATCTGATCCCAGTTCATTTGTCAGTTGGATATTGTTAATATAGTTGGTTAAGTTGGCTGTGTGAAGCAATATGTCTGGTGTAGTGTCGTCGTTTTCAGGCATTATAAAAGTTGGTGGGGTTTCTCGTCTGCTAAAATCTGAGTTTTCAAGGAATGTTTTTACCTGTTTTGTTTTTCGCTGATTAAGATTAAAGTCTCCAACTACGATGACGTGTTTATATAGGTTAACTTTATTGAAAATGGTCTGTTCAATGCCCGAAAAAAGATGTACGTACACAAGGAAGAGATGCTCTGATGTACGGAATTGTTAAATGTAGGCATTCATTCAAGGGATTGTTTAGGGCTGGGGGATTAGCTTTACCGATTTTTATGTTTGGTTTAAAAAGAACCGCCTCACCTCCGCGTGCATTATTCACCACACTACCATGCCTACACAAAAACTGCCAATCTCTTTGTGAATGAGTCTGGTCCGTCTTAGTCTTTGTCTCAACAAGCAAACATCCGTCAACATCATTGCGCTCTAAGTAGTTATATAAAAGATGTTTTTTACTGTTGAACCCGTTGATGTTGGCATATATCAGCCTAAGAGACATTTTCAATATTTGTAACTGTTTGTCTAGTTTGGTCTTTAGGATCAGTGGGTGAAGTGCCGTCGGGTCGGGTCAGATCAAACATAAGAATGTACATGTGCGAGCCAAAAAATAGTACTGTTGTATCGATCTGAAAGTCCTCCACAAATATTTTCTTTAATTTTTTAAGAAGTTAGTCTCTGTTTCTGTTGTTTGTCTTGTTTAAATCGTGTTTGTATTTGTTTATAATAAAGTCGTGCGTCGTGATGGGTGTGTGAATTATATTGTTCGTTATGTTCTTTGGTAATTCGTTGGATGTCTTGTTGGTCTATTTAATTTTCACGTTTGGAATACTTTCTAATCGTGCCGTTGGTCTTTTCGGGCACTTCATACTCCAAGCCGCATGTTCGTCCGAGCCACAAGACACACACCTCGCTGGTAGTGGCGACTTGCAATGTGTCGTTGAATGGGCACTTGCTGCATTTTGGAATTGCTTTGCAGTCCTCTGTCCTATGCTCGAATTGGTTGCACTTAGCACACGGAGATGGGATGGGTGTAGGTGGCTTGCTTTCGATAACCAGAAAGACTCGACCCAGAAAATGCAGCATTTTCTCAGCCATCTTTCGTATATTGTCAGGTCCGACGTGATGAGTCTCATCATTAAAGTTGGCTTGTTTAGTTTCCTGGAGATGATACGTTTGCAGTAACGTACTCCCAGACCCAGAGTCTGAAACTGCTGGGCAAACATGTCGTCCGTTATTTCCAGATCTACCCCCGTAACTACCGCTGAATATGACGGAAGGTAGAAGCTTTTGTTTGTGTGTGATGGTCCTGCTGGTGTGTTGTTTTGAAGGTTTTGAAAGTGTTGAAAAGGTGTTGTTTTGAAGTTTAAATTGTGAAATTACATTGTTGTCGACTAATTGTTGTAGTGATAACGTGGCAGTTTCCGGATTGTTGGTTTTGAGTAAAAAGTTGTGTTCCTGTTTTATAATGATGTCTTTGTTTACTTTGCTTAGCTCCTCCCATAACATCGCAAGCTGCACCCGGGTAGTAGACAAGGCTGCATTTATTATGTAGCTGTGAGAAAACTATGGAAAAGCATAGTTGGACCGTTTTGTATTTATGTTGCGTGTGTTGCTGTTTGTTGTTTGAGCGTTTTGCCATAAGTTGAGTATAGGCGGTTGGTAATTTGCAGAAGTTTGCCATTTTCCACGTTAGTCCCTCGTGCCAGACTTTGTCGAACGCCTTTTCGATGTCCAGGAGAATGACCCCCGTGGAGGCTTTTTCCCGGAAACCCCGTTTGGCGTCTTCCACAAGTCTGGCCACTTGCATTTCGGCGCAATTATTTCTCATGAAACCGAATTGTTTGTTGGGAATTCCGCTGTGATCTGTTAGTTTTTCCAGGAGTCCTTCTTTGAAGAAATTTTCTGTGATTTTGGCGAAAGTGGGGAGAAGGCTAATTGGTCGCCAATTTTGGGCGTTTTATTTTTGCCGGGTTTTGAAATCAGTATCACTGCCGCCGTTTTCCAGCTTTTCGGGAATTTTCTGAAGGCAAAGGCACTGTTGATGATGGTTAGGAGCAGCAGCAAGATTGTTTCCGGGAGCATTTTCATCATCCTGTTGGGGATTCTGTCAATGCCTGGAGCTGTTTTGGATTTTAGTGTCTTTATTTTGTCTTTCAGTTTGTCTTTCAGCGTAACGGGGGGGATTTTTTCGTCTAGTTCCGTTAGTGGTTTGGATTTGATGTGACGTCCGTGTTTTTCAACCTGTTCCTCAAAGTCCAGGTTGTCGCCCATTGAGTAGTTAACCCTGAACTGGTTTTCCAGCGAGGCGGCGAAAGGTTCCGCTTTTTCCTTGTCGGTGTAGACCAGTCCGTTCTTGCCGTGAATGGGGGGAAAGTTAGTATTGTTGTTACATTTCCCTTGAAATTTTTTGGCTAATTTCCAAACCGAAATATCACCGGGCTCTAGTTTGCCAGCGATTATTTTTTATTTCCGCAACTTGTTTTTTAATGTTATTTGTTAATTTATTGGCTTGCGAGTTGAGATAGGTGTCTGAGTTTTGTTGTGCTAGTCGCTTAAGGCGATTTCGCAGTTTAGTTTGGTTTTTTATTTGTATTGGCAGGCCGAAAGGGTTATTATTGGTATTTGCTTTTATTGCGGTTGATTTGTTCATAGCCTCGGTGATTTTTTCCGTGAGGGCGTTCATAAGGGAGTTCAGTTCGTGAGTGTTTGTTATTTGGAAGTTTGGGAATGTAATTTCGTTGAGGTAGTGTGATAGGGCATCCCAGTCCATGTATGTTAATGGTTGTAGTGGGTTGTGTATGTAGTGTTGGTTTAGTAGTATTTTTATAGGGTTGTGGTCTGAACCAAGGGAGTCTGAGTTTGAAATTACCAGATCAAGAGCGAGATTTTTTGACACCGCGATGTCTAGGATGTCTGGCGTTAGATGGTGGAAATGGGTGGGTTCCTCTGGGGCATGGATTTGAAGGTCTAGTTTCGTAGCGTAATTTAGCAGTTTTTTGCTTTCTGGATTGGATTGTTTACAACCCCATGCCGTGTTTTTACTGTTGAGGTCCCCAGCGAGGAGGGTGGGATGTTTGGAATTGAATAGTGTTTTATAGTCCTCCGGTGTGGTGATTTTATTGGGCGGTTTGTATGAGGAAATTATTTGGATTTTGGTGCTGTTCATATGCAGGAGTATGGCTATGGTTTCAATGCTGGAGTTGAAAGGGGGGATTTGGGTGTGGCCTAGTGATTGTTTTATAACAATTGCGGTGCCTCGACCTTGGGAGGTTCTGTCTGTACGGTAGGTGTGATAGTTATTGAAGTGAAGGGATGTTTGTGGGACAAGGAAGGTTTCCTGGATGAGAGCGATGTCTACATCGTTTTCATGTATGCCTCAAATTCGTACTTTTTGGGGTACAAAGGTGAGGCATTCCATGATACGATCTGGCCACCTAGGGGATTAATGCTGTGCTTCAGCATAGCATTTTGAGGACTGGGTTTTGGGATATCTTGGTCGCGATCTCTTCGTCAGAGAGTAGCAGGAGTTGCAGGATTTGGGGTTGAGAGGGGGTTGAGAGGGGGTCTTGGATTGAGGGGACTTTTGGCTGTGGGGGATTGGGTTACGGTTTTAGTTGTTGGGGTTGGGATTTTTTGTTTTATTTGAATTGTGGGCTTTGAGGGGTTCGGTGGGGCGGTAGAGGCCGTCGCAGTTAACGCTTTTTGTGCAAACGAGGTGCCCGGTTACACTTTGTTGTTGAATAGCGTTTGTTTCTTTTTTGCCTCGGTTTGCAGCTTGAAATTGGGGTTCTTGGGACAGGGGAAATAGCTCGCTGGGTGAGGCCCTCCGCAGTTACAACATTTTGCCGGAGTTTCCCGGGGTTTTTGGCATTCCCTGTAGAAATGAGGCTCCGCGCATCTGTGGCAGATGGGCTTTGCGCCGCAGTTTGTTAGTGAGTGCCCGAATTTCTGGCAATTTTTGCACTGGGGGACGTGTTTTAGGATAAAGGTGATGGAATTCCTTTGAACTGAATTTGGCTTCTGTTTGGGGTAATAGTACTTTTGCCATATTGGAAACTTTTTTGTAGTTTCCCAGCCGCTAAAAGTGGGTTTGGGTTGGGTGGAAACCTAAACTTTTGATTTCTTCCTCAATGTCTTGAATGTCCATCTTGGCGTCCAGACCCTTTATAATGAACGCTCGTTTTTTGTCTTCATTCAGAGTGAATGTGTGATATTCGATTTTATTTTCGTTGAGTAGTTTTGTGATTTTCCTATGCTCGTCGGTTGTTTTCGGAGCAGAGGAGATTCCCGAGAGTTGTTTTTTGGGGTTTTCAATTTTAATGTTGTTTTTGTTTAGTATTTTTTGAATTTTGACCCAGTCGGCTGGGTTCCTGATGTTAATTGGAACCGTGCCGGGTCTGGGACTTGTGATTTGAGTTTGAGTTTGAGTTTTGTTTAGGTTTCCTGGATTTTCGGAGTTTGTTGATTGATTTTTTGCCTCTTCCGCTTTAAGGTGTTTTTGAAGGATTTTGTTTGCGGTTTTGGGGAGATTCCAGGCTGGGGTGTTCATTGTGTAAAGGGGGGGAACCGATCGACTTCCATGGCTTCGGGTGCCGAAGTGGTTTGGGGTTTGGGGGCTTTTTGGAGAATTTAAGAATTCCGCGGGAGTGCTTTGGGTTATTAGCTTGCCTACTTTGCTCATTAGCTCATTTATTCTTTTGTTGGCTAATTCCAGCTGCTGGAGAAGTTTAGCGTTTGTTTTTTTAAGTTTTGAATTTTCGTGTTCAATTGTTAATTTTGCACGTTGCGAGTAAGGTGAAGCCTTGATTTTATACAGGGTTGTAGAGGCAGAGGCACTTACCTTGAACTTCGGGAGCTCTGAATTTGCCGGATGTCTAATATTGCTGTCACTGAAGTGGGGTGGCTCAGGGCTTGGGGCTCGCGAGTCCGCCATTTTGATCTCGTTTACCTCGTCTGCGGCCACACGAGGCTTTGTTTTTGCATTTTTGCCGGATTTGACGTAGGAGCACGGAAGTTTTGCCAAGATATTGTTAAATTATGAATTTTATCGATCTCGCTTGATTGCGAGCACTTTCGTTCACTCACGTATTCACGCTGCACTTTTCAGTTAGGCCGAAGCTTAACGATATGCTTGTTACTTCTGGGGTGGTTGGGTTGAAGTTTTTGGACCTTCCCCTTTTTTTGATTTGGGTTGTTGAAAACCATCGGATTCCGATAATCTTTCCGATCCCGAATCCTGCGAATATATAGAACTCATGGTCGGTCTCCAACGCCTGGGGCTCTCAAGGTTGTATATGTTTACACAAATTATTTAAATTCTTGCAGTTGCTATTTCACTATCCTGATATAGGCGAAAAAGTCACCGTACACGTCCGCTCGCTACGGTGTAGTGACACGGAATCGAAAAAAAAATTTTTGTTCAATAGTTAGAGTTTAAACAAAAGTAAATTTCGATGCCACAGAAGCAATATCTGCATTTCAAATATCACATTAAAAAATTTAATGGGTGAAATGTTTAATGGGAAAAAAATTTAATGGGAAAAAAATTTAATGGGTGATAAACAGGAGCGCTTTTGAAATACAGCCGATTTAATGAATCAACCAATTAGTAATTATCATTTAGTCAGTCTCATTTAGTGGGATTTTAACTAACTTACTTAGCCAAATGCCCACCACTGACTTCAATAAATTTCTATAAAAATTTGTTTACTTTTTTCTGACTCAAAATAAAATACTTTCTTGGTTCCTTGTAGAATTTACACTGAATTGAGTAAGTATATTTCTTTATAGGCCATATCGCCAGCAGCCCCAAATATCAATATCTAAGGGATTAAGATCAGAGCTAAGCGATGGTTAACCGGCTGCCTGGAAAATGTTAATTCGTAAATATTGAACCGGTAACGTATATTAAGGCAGTGCGCTAGCATGCCTTATATCTAGTGGAACCTCTAAATCAATAAACATTTTGTTACAAGCGTGATTGTTTCTCAAGTATGGACACTACGTCGCTATAAAGGTGGTCATATCGGCAAACGGTAGCTTATCAAGCTGATCAACGTAGTAGCGTGATTGGCTATTTTTTTCATTTAAAGCTTTTCAATAGTTTAACATAGCAGGCAAGTCAATAGTCAACCAATTCTGAACATAGGGCAAAGTGATATGAATGCAGTTTTTTATTATGAAGAAATTTTAGTATTACACTTTTATTTCCCCTTGTGGCAAATAGCAGGCATCTACTCTCTCGTTCTATCTATTTGTAGATTTTCGGCTAACAGCAATAAGATTCCCATAGAACACCTATCAATTGAAGATTTTTTCCTAGATCATCTATCATTTCTGTTTCGATATGGCAGTTTCTAGCAAAAACTATGAATGCTACAAGATTTAGCAAGGAGTACAAAATTGTAAAAAGATGATTAGGGCATCAACCAAAAAAAATTAGTTCATTTCCTCCTCCAAATAAAAAGTTCTGGTAGTTTTTGTATCACGACACTCAAGAATTCACTACTTGTCCAAAACAGATGAACTCGATTGTTTCATCAAAATATGAGTGTTACATAAGAACAAATTCACAGCGAGTTTCACTAAAATACATCGTACAATTCTCCCCATATTTCAGAAAAGATAATTTTTTTGAAGAACTTGACGAACTGACATTTGTTCTTAATAAAAGGTAGGTCAGATCGTCTTCTTTTGATGCAAAGAATATCGCAGTATCCTTTTGATCATGTGCTTACGGGACACCCTGTATAAGTCGATATTTGAATTTCGCCAACCAGAAACGTTGAGAAATTATCGAATAAATTTGAAGTTCAAATAAGTGGAAATTGAATTATTTTACTAAGATTTGTTTAAGTAAGTCCTATAATTATTAATTACTGACCACCCTATCGCAAATGGAATGTAATGTTTTTCTCTGATTATTGTCATTCGATTCCACATCTATTACAAGTTTTTGACTATATTTTGCGAGATTTATACGTCTGGACATAAATCATACATGTTCCTAATATTCACACTTTTATAAGCCCTACTTTATGGATCGTTCGTTGCAAGTCTAACGTTTGCGTGAGTGTGCCCGTAATCCTCTGGTTTTGAACTCGTATTCTATGTATATTCTACTAGTCACAAAAGAATAATCCTTTCTTGTTTAGTAAAATAAAATTTTTAAACATACATATTTTTAATTCGAATTCTGTCGGGAAAATGCGTTTATTTATACGACTTTATAAAAATTGAAAATTCAGCGAAGCAATACATTGGAGACTGCATGAAACGTTTTAATCGAGCTTTCATAGAAAATAATGTTACTGACGGAAGATGTCAATTCGAAATTGAATGGAAACAAAAATAGAAATTGTAACTACTTGCTTTCTAGGTCCAGGGGTTTCTATTTGCAATATCTATGAATACATATTAGCAATAAATTTATGGGCAAGTTGGATGTTGTCTTAGGTATATTAACACTATTTTGGAACTTTATATATGCTTAAAGTAGGATTGCCATGAAAAATATCGTAGGTGGGTGTACAGGGAGAGTCAGTTTACGACATCAGAATTTTACCGGTCCATCGAAAATCTCATTTCAGGATAAAAATATCGTACAAACGTTTATTGAAAACGCCTTCGTTTTTGAGATACACGGTGGCAAAGTTAATGTATTATTTTCATTTTTTTAAATAATTGATGCAAATCTTAAAACACTGAAATAAAATGTTTTATTCTAGAACCCATCGCAATACCACATTCAATCATGTCATGTTCACGCCAAATATACAGATCGTTCCACATGGCACTAATATAAAATTTTTAAATAATAATAATTTATTTATGTCTTTACGTATCAATCTGATTTTTAAATTAAATCATTTTCCGTGCATAAATACATAAGAAATGTATTATTGTTTAAAGTGGCTAACTGTAAAAGTTTTCGAGATTTTTTTTATTATTTAAATTAAAAATTAATCGCACCAAAGCAGGAAGATTTAGTTAAACAATTTCAGATTTCTAAAGTAAATTTTCAATGACTCGATTTTTCTGTGATAAGTAAAGCTCGGATTTAAAGGCAAGAAAATTTGAAGAAAAAGGCGCCTATATAGGCAAGGATTTTTTTTAAAAAAGGCAGACATATTGTGATATAGGCAG